ATGGGTGTCTCAGAAAGAGACAGATGAAATTTCTTGGACATTTTATGAGGAAAGATAGCTTGGAAAATCTAACACGCACAGGACGTATTGAGGAAAAGGGGAGAAGACGGAAAGAGCGAATAACTTACCTAATGAACTTGTGTTGATGGATGGCAGAGTAGAGATAAAAAGTGATGTTAATGAGACAAACGTTGCTTAGAACTATAAAAGGCCGGAAACTGAAGAGAGCCATAATCGTCTACGTCCTGAAGGGACACGACACATAAATAATGATGATATATAAATTTCATGGCAAATCGGACAGAAAATATAACGCAAATGGTTTGTTTGATTTATTTATACTTTTCTGTGAAGTAAGAGCCTCGTGCCGTCTTCCGTTTGTCCTTAATGACTTGTCCTAACGCGCCTGTTTGGTCTTTCCATTTTGAGTCATTTCCTCGTTTTTCTCATTTGCTCTTTCGATTGCTGTCTTTTGTCTAAATCTCGTTCACGTTTATAATTCTCGCTTTTTATAATGCGTCAGACTTTCCTTTTTCTCTCTTTCTTTGTAGTTTTTGCTTTATTTTCCTTATTCTTTCAGGTTCTTTGTCGTCCTTTTTATTCTCTCTTCATCTTTTTGTCTCCCATTTTTTCTTCTTTCTTTCTTTCTTTTTCTCCCTCTCTTTTTCTTTACTCTCTTTTAAATACATTTCTTTTATATTTGGAATCCTCTCACTCTTGTCTTTTCCTTTTATTCTTTATCTTTCTTTATTTATCCCTTTTTTAGCTACATTTCTCTTTCATTTCTTCTTTCTTTCTTTCCTTCTTTCTTTCTTTCCTTCTTTCTTTCTTTCTTTCTTTTCTTTTGTCTCTCTCAACTTTTATTTATTCCTTTTTTAATGCCTTTCTTTTACTTTTGGAATTCTCCCGCTCTTTTCTTTCCGTTTTTTTTTTCTGTATCTTCTTTTTTTATTTGTAAACTGAATTTCTTTTCATTCTCTTTCATTTCTTCTTTTGCTTCTTCTTTCTTTCTTTTTTGTCCTTCTCTTTTAATTTATTTCTTTTTGAAATGCATTTTTAAACATCTTTTCTCTTTTTCTTCTCTCTATCACTGTATCTTAATTTTCGAATTATTTCCTTCTCGTCTAACTTTTATTCTTATAATATACTTTTGTTCTTTCTTCTTCTCCTAATCCTTCCTGCATCTCTCATTCCCATAAATAATCCCACCCTTTTCTCTTATAATAACTTCCCTATCTTTATTCCTTCTTCTTTCATAATTAGAGAAAATACTTTTTTTTTTCATTTTCTCATTCGTTATCTCTTTCCCCGTTTTATGATCATTTTCCTCTTTCTTTCTTCACGCCATTCCCATGTCTTCCTTTTCCTTTCATAAAACCTTCCAAGGGAATCCGAATTAATGCCAGACTGAGGAAGTTATTCACCTGAGGTCAGTCAGACGATCGTCTTTGCCCTTTCGTCGCAATTGCACACAAGTGAAAACTTTCGGCGGAATTATCATGAATATTTCTGAATATTCATTACACGTGCGTGCGCGCAGATCACACACACATACACACTCCACTCTCACACACACAGCCATAATGCACATACATACACACACGCACACATACATACATACACATATAATCCCATGCGTAAAACAAGAGAAGGTTTGCAATGTTCTGAACGTACAACACGATCAATAGATCGACTCTCACGGGTTAATCTGATCTAATAAACGCCATCGTCTAAAAGCGTAAGTACATCGTTACTGCGACCTAAAGTGGAGCATCTTATCCCGCAGACCATTGGTCGTAAGTCTGCACCCGAACTTGGCATCCATTATATATATATATATATATATATATATATATATATATATATATGTAAGTATTAAATTTTTAAACGGAATTTTTAAAAGTGGTCAGTATTTAGAATGTAATAGAGAGAAAACAATTTAAAAAATGAAGAATTTACTTACTGCAAATTAATTCATCCGTATTTGAATTATTATTATTATTCTCCCGACTACGCAGTCTCATGGTTCATGTCCACTCTTCAAGGGTCCTTTACTGATATACACACTCATATACACACATACACACACACATATATATATATATGTGTGTGTGTGTGTGTGTGTGTGTGTGTGTGTGTGTGTGTGTGTGTGTGAAAATATATAGAAAATAGGAAGGAACTGGTAAGGTAAATAATTCAAAGTTCCTTAGTATTTTAGTTATTATTTTTTAAAAATAGTGCTCGATACAAAAGTAGAGCATAAATATAATTATTAATTTAAAAATATGATTCCAACTCGCGACATAAGAGGTCTCATGTTTCAAAACAAGAGCCGAAAACTTCAATATAATTATTTGAATCAAATTGAGTTAAAGTAAGCTCTGTTCCATCTTCAAGCGAAATTTTTTTTGGAATAACGTATTTCAGAAATTTACGTGTTTTAATAATTGAAATCAAAATTTCCATGGTAACAGCTAGGGCGAATTGTTTAAATTGGGTAGGGGTGTGTTGGGTGTTAATAATAAGTATCAGTATAGAGTTACTCTCATTGATGTCAAGTCAGGGAAAGGTGGGGGTGTCTAAATTTGAAACAGAAGATGTATTAACCCTAGTCTGGTATGCGTCTCTATGGAGATTTATTTATTTTTTTATTTTATTTTTTTTTTATTTTTTTTTTTATGAAAGGGATTTGTGCATATAAAAAAACTGCCGTTACGCTTGTTTTTTGACTACTTCATAAAGGGTTATCTTTTTTGTAGCCCAAATAAATAGTTTAAATACCCTACAGAGGCAAACAAAAGGGGCCCCAGACCATATATGGCAGCAATACTCCATGCAAGGGAGAATTGCAGATCTGGTGGATCGATTCCGGGGAGAAAAATTTCCTGGCGCGGTACAGGGAGACAACTTTCCTTGCGGTGGACGAAGCAATTGACTCAATGTATTTGTTCCATCTCAGGTCAGCCGTCAACGTGAGACCGAGCAGCCGCAGGGAGAAGTTGAGCGTCAGACATTCTAATGGAGGGCAGGGAAGGATCTCTGTGATGATTAATAGAGAGCAGTTTTGTTTTTGAAGCATTAAAGTTGACCAGCCAATTCATGCCCCAGTTCACAACCGATTGGAAGTCTTTTCGAGACACACTGCCAGGTTAGTTTTGACAGTGACACTAGATTTGTTTTTGAGGCAGGAATAAATTGTGGTGTCATCCGCGTAGATGCCAACTTGGGAATTTATAGCGTCAGGAAGGTCCTTTATGTAGATAAGGAATAGAGTGGGACCTAGGATGGATCCTTGATGAACACCTGCGTTCGTGGGATAGGAACTGGAGGAGAATCCGTTGAGAACGACCTTCAATTCACGGTTTGACAGGAATGATTGTATTAGGTCTAACAATCGACCTGTAATGCCATAACCCTGGAGCTTGCGAAGAAGGCCGGCATGCCAAACCCTATCAAATGCTTTGGAGATGTCTAGGGCCACGGCACGAGCTTCTCCGTTATTTTGAAGAGCTCGGTAGACAGTTTCAGTGATGGCCGTAAGCACATCAACTGTAGATCGGGTAAAGCGGAAGCCATATTGCTTGTCTGAGAGCATATTATGGGATGTGAGGTGGTTAACCACCTCGGTATCGATTAGCGCTTCGAAGACTTTGCCGAAGAGGGGTAGGAGACTGATAGGACGGTAGTTAGAAGGGTCAGAGGGGTCGCCAGAGTTCTTGAAGACAGGAACAATCAAAGAGGACTTCCATCAGTCCGGAAAACAAGATTCCTTGAGGCAGTAGTTGTATAGTTTAGAAAGGGCGGGCGCCACTTCAGGCGCGCATTTCTTAAAAATAATGGTATGCCATCTCCACCACTAGCCTTGTTGGGGTCTAAATTGGAGATAACGCCCAATACCAAAGACGGGGTTACGTGTAACCCACCCAATAGGGCCTCAGTTCTAAGAGGGAAGTCGGGTATGGGTACACCGGAAGAGTCGAGCGTTGAGTTGAGTGAAAATTTCCGAGGAAAGCATTCAGTCTTGTCGGTAGAGGACTTTGAACTGGTTGAACAAAGGAGGTATAGAGAGTTTGCAATTGTTCAATACGCTCTTGCAGAGACGCCAATAATCTTTGGAGCCAAATTTGCGAGATGCAATACGCTCCTTCATCCGAGCAGCAAATAGTGAATTAGCATCGTTGAGGACACGCTTACAATCGTTACGGGCGGAGGCAAAGAGACGTCTATTGCAGTCAGACATGTCGCTACGGAATAGGTGAAAGAAGTGGTTCCCATAAGCGATGGCGGCAGAGCAAGCAGCGGAGAACCAGGGGGAGGGGCGCGACTTGACCCTATATTTCCTTGAGGGGATGAAGGCGTCGATACTAGCTTTAACCCAGGATGAGACCTCAGCACATTCTTGAATGGGGAGCGTAAAGACACCATCCCAGGGGACATCGCGGAGGAAATCACGGAACGCGTCCCAATCAGCTCGTTGATAGTAGAACGAAGTTCTAGTGGTAGGACGTTCTTTGCAGGGGGTGGAGTTGAAGGAGATGTTAACAGATACTACAGCATGATCAGAGTTACCAAGAGGCGCTACAGGACTCGGGGATGGAGGTAAAACACAGATCGAGAAGAGAGGCTTTACCTTCCCGGTTGAAGGTAAAACGAGTGGGGAAGTTAACTATCTGCGTGAGGGATTGAGAGACTGAGAAATTGAGTGTTTGAATGCCTGCGTAGTCACTAGTAGCATTCTTAAGCCACATGGTATGATGGGCGTTAAAGTCGCCAAACACAAATATGTGAGCAAACGGGTAGAGTGAGAGCCTTGTCTATGCTGTCAGAACCGTTGCTCCGATCCCGCGGTTCCTCTCGAACTGGACGGGATAGCCGTGGCCACGGCCGACGTAACGTGTCGATCGGTAGGATAAAACTAACCTGTCTCACGACGGTCTAAACCCAGCTCACGTTCCTCTCAGTGGGTGAACAATCCAACGCTTGGCGAATTCTGCTTCGCAATGATAGGAAGAGCCGACATCGAAGGATCAAAAGCGACGTCGCTACGAACGCTTGGCCGCCACAAGCCAGTTATCCCTGTGGTAACTTTTTCTGACACCTCTCGGCGGAATGGAGCTCTCCGCTCGGGAAAGGATCGATGGGCCACGCTTTCGCGGTCCGTATTCGTACTGAAAATCGAGATCGAGCGAGCTTTTTGCCCTTTTGCTCCACGCGAGGTTTCCGTCCTCGCTGAGCTCGCCTTTGGACACCTGCGTTACCGTTTGACAGACGTACCGCCCCAGTCAAACTCCCCCGCCCGGCACGGTCCTCGGCTAAGGGTCGAGCGCGGGCCCCAATCGGCGGGAGCCCGCGCCCTGGCGCTAGCAAGAGGGCCGCCGAGCGACCCGTCCCCTTTTCACCGGGTGAGCGAGGAAACGACGGAAGTGGCGGTATTTCAGGTTCGACGACACCGAACGACGCAGGTCACGGCGAAGGCCGGAAAACCGGGACGAACGAAACGCCAGCACACCGAGGAGGCGGAGGCCCCGCCCAACAGAGAAGAAAAACGGAAGCAGGAGGCGAAGAGGAAACGACGACGACGAGAGGCGAACCCCCCACCACCGGCCGCAAACCCAAGTCCCCACGACCGCATCCGCTACCGCCAAACGAAACCGACCCCCACGGCAACCGACGGCCGCCGCCCAGCCCCGATCAACGCGCTCCCAACGCCGACAAAGGCGTGTCTCCCGCCTATGCTACACCTCCCGTGTCTCCTCACAGAGTCGGACTAGAGTCAAGCTCAACAGGGTCTTCTTTCCCCGCCGATCGTTCCAAGCCCGTTCCCTTGGCTGTGGTTTCGCTAGATAGTAGGTAGGGACAGTGGGAATCTCGTTGATCCGTTCATGCTCGTCACTAATTAGATGACGAGGCATTTGGCTAACTCACAACCACCCGCGCCCACCGGCCTAGGACGTGTTAGGTCGGTACACCCTCTCTGCCTACCTAAGGGGTGCCGTTACTCCCCAAAGGCGTTTCCCAAATGCCACCTCGAGGAGGTGGGGTGCGTATTTCAGCCTCATCTCAGGCGGGGGGTAGGATAATTCCCTTTAACCTAAGAAGGTTAGGTGAGTTAGTCCCTTGCCGATCAGGAAGTTCCTTCTGGCGCCGGCGCGGAGTATGCTACACACCTTTCTATCTTTGTCTCCGCTTTGTCAGGCAGTTCATGGGGCTACTCAGCGCAGTCCATGAGTACCTCAGCCGACGCTGTCGGGCGTGTCGCCCCATCCGCGGGCGCGTGCCAATATGCCCATAGCATGCGCGCGGTATCACGTAAGATCATCCTAGAGATTGGACCGAAGTGCCGCCACCTTAATAGTTTGTTTGTGATGCAATCCTGGTAGGACTGCTGTGCAGCCGCCCGCGCCAATTGTAGGTGAGAGCAATGACCTTGATGGGCAGGCCATGCCCGAAGCGGTCTCGGATCGCGTCAAGAACGTACGGCTGATTGTACTTCGCGATCTTTTCCCTGTTGCATGCATCCAGAGTGCATACGACAGAGTCAGGTCGTATCTGTACATCCAGGACAATTATTTCCTTCTTGGCCAGGATCACAAGGTCGGGCTTACGGAGGCCGCGCTCAGTCTGAAGCCTAGGTTCCATGATTACGTCGAATTTCTTTTCTTTCAGGATCTGTGCCACGTATAGGACGACGTTGTTGTGGCGTTTTATCCGGAGACCGCTAACGATGCTGCAGGCTTGGGCTATGTGGGGCAGGCTCATACGAGCATTGCTCCCGCATTTGCAGATGGTATCGACAGAACGACCACCCCGGCTGAGCCGGGATGGCGTGCCCATACAGCCTAGGCGCACCCTAATGGCCTCCTGGAAATCGTGTCCGGCCAAGTTGGTGGGGGCATGGTCCAGCCAGCTGTTGACAGCTGGTACCTTCTCATACCCCCCTGTAGGCCCCTGGTGTCCAATCTCCTGTGGAGATCTTCGACCAGACCCTCTCGGGATGACATTACAGATCCTCTGAATTTGTAGGACATCAGACCTCGCACGGCGGGATTAGATGCTGTCGCGGCATCTTCCTCATCACCATACGACAACTGGGTTAGGCGGCTTTCTTTTAATGTCGAGTATAAGGTCTCTAGAGAGTTCACCCCAAACCGCCGAATCTCGCGGGAGTGTGTATCGCGGAATTGGGACAATCCGCCGGTAGCCGGAGCCACCTGCGGACGACCCGACGAACTGCTTTGTCCCCTTTGACGAGCTCGCCCTTATGCAGTCGGCCGAATGTTAGCTGGTGTTGCAGTCGCGGGAGCAAGAATTTTTTAAGGACTATCAGCTTTTGTTGCGGTTTTAGAGCAGCGCGATTGAGACGGACCAGTAGTTTTTCAAGGTCGAGCGGCGTACGGGCCACGCCCTTCCAATTGAACTGGACTCCGGTACCGAAATTCGGACACGGCAGTCACAACTGGTAGACGGGTACCATCGACGGATATCGACACATCCGTATCAACAAAGCTTAAATTTCCTCTTCTTATCCCCGCGAATGGAGAGCACACAGCATTTTCGGGCGTTAAGCTCAAGTCCAAGGCGGCCGAGGCCGATAGTCAGTCGCTCGATCCGTTTTGCATTTCTTCCTGAGAGCTGGCGAATAGTATTAGATCATCAGCATACGCCATCTGATTGAGTACTATCGCGCCGATGGTAATGGCGTACTCCTCCTGTCCCTCAAGTATCTGATCCAGGGCTAGGTTGAATAGCCAGGGGACATAGGGGTCCCCTGCTTAACCCCACGATGTTTCGGGTGGATCAAGTCTTTTCCAATCTGTAGTCTGCTCGTGCTGAAATAGGTTCGCAGATACCCCATAAGGAGGTCAGGGACCCCCTTCCGTTGGAGTATGCCCAGTATCGCTTCGTGCGATATCGAATCGAATGCCTTGCGGATGTCCACCGATGCGACAACTAAGTTCTCATGTTTGCTCCGGGCCGCATTTAGTGCCGCATTTAACTTGAGGACATTGTGGGCAACCCCATCGAGACGTTTAAACCCGACCTGGTCTCGATGATTAGGTAAGGCTGCCTCAAACCGACTCGCAAGCACCCGATGAAATATTCGCACAAAGTAATTCCCGATGGCGATGGGACGGAATTCAAGGGCATCGCCAGGCACCTCCACCTTCTTGATGAAAGTCACCCGGGAGGTGAAGATGTTGCCAGCTTTGCCCCTGGTGGGCGGCGGTCCTTAAGCAGTAGCAGATTATACAGAAAGGTGATGACCTCTACGGGTATCCCCGCAAGATGTTAAGGCGGAGGCCATCAGGTCCTGGGGACGATTCTTTTAGAGATGCAATCACGGCAGCGACATCGGCCACCTTGATGGGCGCAGCTAGTTCGTTCAACGGCGGGCCGGGATGGTCTCCGGCCAGGTCCGCATAGCAGGGTCGTTCGAATACCGGCTTCCATTTGCGCAGAAAGTCCTCGTCGGAGAAGGCCCGTTCGGCAACAAGTCCCTCGTAGGAGAGGTCGCTGTCGAGGACCCGTTCGGCTACAGACTTCGGACTACGCTTATGGAGGTTCTGGAGGAAGTTATAGATTATGGCACGCTGGGCGCGCCTCCTCTTCACTCCCACCTTCACCGCCGGCATCGCCCGCCTGCCAACGGTCCTGTTCTTCGGGAAGAACTCATTATATAGTTTGAGAAACCGTTGGGGTCACCGATGGCCTGTTTGGCCTTTTCCCGAACCACGGGGTCGGGGATGTTAGGAAGAATGCCGTATAAATAGTCGGATATTCCTGTTCGGATTCTGTCATAGATCGCTCGTACGGCTGGGGCTCGGCGTGACCTGCTCCTCGTCCGTCGGAGCCTGGGCCGGCATTTAACGATTCTACGGGACTTACGCACGGAGCAAGCTATCAGCTCGCTTGCGGCAGTCGGAAAGCGAACGAAAGAACGCGCGCTTCGTCATCATCGCTTTGCTGTTCGGACACTTGCGAGATGACGAGGCATCTGCTCACAACTTAAGTCAGTAACAGTTACATCCGCCGTTTACCCGACTTTGGTCGGTCGGTCGGTTCATTTGAGAAAATCTCGTGCTAGGCAGTGCGGAGACGACACGACGGCAACGACTCTACAAGGACTTAGGCACATGCCTCTTAAGGCGCATTACGGGAGTCCGGCTACGGTGAACGAAGGGGCCGCCTTCTACGGGACTTACGCACATGCCTGTAAGGCGCAGTACGGGAGTCCGGCTACTACGGCAAACGAAGGCCTTCGACAAAACTACGCACTTTACGCACTTACCTTCTGAGGCGCATGACGGGAGTCCGGCTACGGTAAACGAAGGCCACCGACGCAGCACTTCGGCACTACTTCGGGCTAGTGGACCCAT